CATTTTCTGTCTATTTTGAACGGTTTTTGAGCGGTCGCAATCTTCAACGGACGATATCTTCCTTATTTTCGACCCACAACTTTTATATTCGCTATGCGGCAGCTTCTTAGCTCGGAAACAATCCAATAAGGGCAAAAAACACGAATGTGAAATTTTGATTTGCAGTTTCACGCAATTTTTTCCGATAAACGGGGGCAAGTTTTTACAATTTTCGTTCAAATTTTATATAAAAACAGTGCGTATACAGCTTTCAAAATCTCGACAACACGCCAAAATCTCTAGAAATAAGCACTAATTGCTCAACAAAAATTTTTAGGCCACTAGTTTGACCACGAAATATTGAGCGAAATTGAACTGAATTCTCCCATAAACCTCATATAGATAAAAACAAGAAATCTTGCAACATTTTCACAATTTAAGAGCGTATGACGCACGTTTTATTTAAAACACATCATTTGAAGCTTTTAGGGTGTGCAGCGAGTCAATAGCTGTTTAAGCAAACAAAACTGATGTAGCCTTTACTCATTGAGTGAATAAATGGTTTTATGTTTCCCAGGATTGGTTGGGTCACGTTCACTTTGAATAATGTTGAATTTTTCCTGTGCAATCAGCTCGAGTTCAAGTTTCTCAGCCGATCTCAGGCGATTAGCGGGTCTTAAGATCTCCGAAAAAAAATTAAATAACGTGGCTCTTTGAGTCAAAACCCGGAAATTTTGCTGGCAGAATACCAAATAATCATCCCTTAATATTAAGCCTATTTTTTAATTCGAATTCAAACATACGTCTGTCCACTTAGTGTCCGTCAGTGTACCCATTCGACCAGAACAATATCGATGGCTATATTTAGCATGCGATGTCATTGATCTGATCACTTTCGTTGAAACGAGCCGCAAACTTTTGATTTTTCAGCAGAAAAGTGCTCTTGAGTGCTGGCAAATCACCTTTTGTTCATGGTTTTAGGAGTCGAAAAACTCTCAATTTGCTACATAAAACCCGTCGTAGTTTATTTTTAATGTAGAGCTGGCAGGATTTGCGATTTTCAATCATTCCCAACTTTAATCGGCTTCGGGAAACCGAAAGGAAAGCACATTCTCAAACAGCGCCCAACAGAAACGATGGGGATACATTTAATGGCTGAAGTTACAGTTTCTTCGAGAAATGAAGCCAATACGGCACGTTTTCTCCCTTCTAGCGACACCTTTTCCCCGAAAATTCGATACAGTTTATTGGCGAAATGATCAGCCATTTCTCCCGACTTTCCTGATTTTGTGTTCTATTGTTTTGATTGACTAAATATTTACCTGAAAATGATGAAAAATCCTCAAAGATTTGTCCATGGAAAAGCGTCCACTACTTGCGTTCTTTAAGCGCGATCTAGGGGTTCAAAGGGTGACTTCTTGCACCATTTTACCCGGAAGACCCTTTCAGAAATTGCAGGAGTTACCAAAAACGTCCTCTAAGTTCTCGCTGTAATATACAGAGTGTCCAAGTTATATTTATCTATTTTTAAAGATGTTTTCCCAACTAATTTAGCTAAAGTCGTTAAGTTGTATCTGGACGCGTTCCTTTAAGTTGTGTTTGGGTTCAAGTGGCTCTAACTTTTTTCTCACCCTGTATACGGATGTTTGAGTGGCTTTGATCCGTTTTGCAATTAATACCGAACAAAAAAGTCGACTTAGTGAAAAGTCCGCAGATCAACCATTTTTGTGATATTGTCCATGGAAAAGTGTCCACTACTTACGTTCTTTAAGCGCGATCTAATACTTCAAAGCGTGACTTCTTGCACCATTTTACCCGGAAGAACCTTTCAGAAATTGCAGGAGTTACCAAAAACGTCCTCTAAGTTCTCGCTATAATATATAGAGTGTCCAAGTTATAATTGTCACTTTTTCAAGATGTTTTCCCAACTAATTTAGCTGTAGTCGTTAAGTTCAATCTGAACGGGTTTCTTTAGGATGTGTTTGGGTTCAAGTGACTCCACATTTTTTCTCGCCCTGTATACGGATGTTTGAGTGGCTTTGATCCTTTTTGCAATTAATACCGAACAAAAAAGTCGACTTAGTGAAAAGTCCGCAGATCAACCATTTTTGTGATATTGTCCATGGAAAAGTGTCCACTACTTGCGTTCTTTAAGCGCGATCTAATACTTCAAAGCGTGACTTCTTGTACCATTTTACCCAGAAGAACCTTTCAGAAATTGCTAAGAGTTACCAAAAAAGTCCTCTAAGTTCTCGCTATAATATACAGAGTGTCCAAGTTATATTTGTCTCTTTTTCAAGATGTTTTCCTAACAAATTTAGCTAAAGTCGTTAAGTTGTATTGAACGCGTTCCTTTAGGATGTGTTTGGGTTCAAGTGGCTCCAACTTTTTTCTCGCCCTGTATACGGATGTTTGAGTGGCTTTGATCCGTTTTGCAGTTAATACCGAACAAAAAAGTCGACTTAGTGGAAAGTCCGCAGATCAACCATTTTTGTGATATTGTCCATGGAAAAGTGTCCACTACTTGCGTTCTTTAAGCGCGATCTAATACTTCAAACGCTGACTTCTTGCACCATTTTACCCGGAAGAACCTTTCAGAAATTGCTAAGAGTTACCAAAAAAGTCCTCTAAGTTCTCGCTATAATATACAGAGTGTCCAAGTTATATTTGTCTCTTTTTAAAGATGTTTTCCCAACAAATTTAGCTAAAGTCATTAAGTTCTATCTGGACGGGTTCCTTTAGGAGGTGTTTGGGTTCAAGTGGCTCCAACTTTTTTCTCGCCCTGTATACGGATGTTTGAGTGGCTTTGATCCGTTTTGCAATTAATACCGAACAAAAAAGTTGACTTAGTGAAAAGTCCGCAGATCAACCATTTTTGAGATATTGTCTATGGAAAAGTGTCCACTACTTTCGTTCTTTAAGCCCGATCTGATACTTCAAACGCTGACTTCTTGCCCCATTTTACCCGGAAGAACCTTTCAGAAATTGCTAAGAGTTACCAAAAAAGTCCCCCAAGTTCTCGCTATAATATACAGAGTGTCCAAGTTATAATTGTCTCTTTTTCAAGATGTTTTCCCAACTAATTTAGCTGAAGTCGTTAAGTTCAATCTGGACGGGTTTCTTTAGGATGTGTTTGGGTTCAAGCGGCTCTAACTTTTTTCTCGCCCTGTATGCTGATGTTTGAGTGGCTTTGATCCGTTTTGCAGTTAATACCGAACAAAAAAGTCGACTTAGTGAAAAGTCCGCAGATCAACCATTTTTGAGATATCGTCTATGGAAAAGCGTCCACTACTTGCGTTCTTTAAGCGCAATCTAATTCTTCAAAGGGTGACTTCTTGCCCCATTTTACCGGGAAGAACCTCCCATAAATTGCTAAGAGTTTTAGGGAGAGTTAGGAGAAGAGAAAAACCCTGCAAAAACGGTAAGACTTGAAGGGTAAGCTTGATGCAACCGAACGATGCACTGGTAAGCAGTCCAACTTCCATTTCGAGTTGAACCCAACTGGACCGAAACCAGTGAGGAACTTAAAACAGTTGTAAACTTGCAGGCATGGACAGGAACAGCTGAAGGCATCCAACCGAGTTTTGGGCTTTCGAAATGGCAGCAGCCGAAGACACTGATGAGCAAAGCCATGCTGAGCACGCCAACCACAATGCGAAAAGCCCGACCAGCACATGTGCAGAGGACGGATCGATGGAGAACAGTTGCAAAAAGTCCCCAACCAGAACTTATGGTAACAGCCGCAACTCAAACTCATGGTTATCCAACCAACAACTCCTTCTGCTGGTTGGTTGCAGGCACTTGCAAGGAAAACTCGTACAAACCCTGCAAGGATGTGGCGCGTGTGGTTGTTGTCGGCCTCACTCCCGAACGACGAAGAGAAACTTGGAACAAAAAAGTTGAGTTTCTACTGGCCGTTATCGGGTTCGCTGTCGATCTGGGAAACGTCTGGAGGTTCCCGTACATTTGCTACGAGAATGGAGGAGGTAAGTCCAAGCAGAGCGTAAAAAAGCGACAACTTCTTAAACCCATTCATTTTCTCGATTTTTTACATCTAAATCCAGCAAACAAACCGAATTATAAGTTAGCTAAACTTCAGCTCAACAGTGTTCATTAGTTAGTATTCAAAGCGGCGACGGCTCATTTGGAACATGCAGCCAATTTGATTTCAGATATTTGCTGCTTGAGCTAATCGAATCAGGCGGATCAAAAGAGTCATCGGGAGGCGTTTGAATGCGTTTAAGGATCGGAACTCGCTTCTATTTATATGGCTTGAAACTTCTCAAAAACACAACATCAACGCATGTTCTTATACTGTTGAGGCTTTAATGAAGGAATGAGTATTGAAAATATTTTTGGGGTTCTTTTGCTTTTTTCGTGTTTAGTTCGATTGTTTTCTTGGCGTGGCCGAAACGTGTGGGAATCCGAAAATCCATTGGAAACTGATGAGTTTTTCCGGCTTTCAGGTCGTCCTGGGAAAGCACTAAAAACTCATCAGTTTCTAATGGGTTTCTCCCTGAAAAAAACTACGTTTACTTGAGAATTTGCAGTTTTTTCAAGCAGATTTCGGAGTTTTCGGAAAACAGCTAAAGCTTTTTCCACTCTTTTACTAATTTCAAAAAATTAGTCAGACGCGAGCTTTTATAGAATTTTTATAGCGAACCACTTGAAAGGTCCTAAACAAACCACTAAAATGCAGTTTTTTCAACGTCCTACTCTGTACATTAAAAAACACTGTGCATTCCACAGGCTTATACAGGGCGACCCAATTTTCAACTTGGGAAGAGTTTTTCCTTTGTAAGTTTTGCAG